GGTCCACGCACGTTCTCCTCCATTGCCTCCATTGCACTGCGGGGCCTTCCCCAAACCCCGAAAACTGCAGCACGTTAACGGGGAAGGCCCGCGGCCCATGTATGGGTCAAGTACTGGTGGTTTAATGAAGTTCCTGGGTGTTGTAGAGGACAAGGACCAGACCCACAGTGATTGTTGGCAGCGGCAGCCAATAGTTGTTCTGACAGGATAGGCCACCTACCCTACCCATCCCCAAGTTTATACTCTCAGCGCACCCCCTTTCCCGAACATATCTATAATACTACTACCGACTTCAAAGCGGCAATGACTTCCTTGACGCGACGTATGCTTTTAAGGTGCCTTCCTCCTAGTGTCCAAGCCACAGGTTGGACGGCATATGTGCGGGGCTGGCAGCGCCGGCTACCCACTCATGTCACAGGGCTCTCGAACTGGTTTCGTCGTATGGTGCGTTTGACCATTGCTCACCCACTGCCGAATGCACACTCAACATACAAGCCTCCTCCCGACCACATGTAATAATACTACCGACTTCAAAGCGGCAGTGACTTGATGCGACATATGCTTTTAAGGCGCCATCCTCCTAGAGTCCTAGCCAAAGGTTGGACGACATATGTTTGTGACCGGCAACACCGGCTACCCACTCATGTCACACGGCTCTCAAACTGGCTTCGTCGTATGATGCGTTGGGCCATTCCTCACCCACTGCCAAATGCACACTCGGGATACAGAGCCTCCTCCCGACCACATGCTGCAGACCATCACCCACTCCTGAACACCAATTATGGTTGCAGGCGGCATCAACCCTCCACACAGCATGACACAACGGGTCTACCCCCTACTGTTACTCTTGCTGAACTTGCAAACGCCAATGTGGATACACCAGCCCAACCAGAGAATGGTCCATCAGTGACAAGTAATGTATACGCTGTTGAGGTTGCTGTAGCTGATGAAGGCCAACATCCGACCAATGCGGCTATTGCTCTCGAAATGGTGTCTCCCTCATCACTGTCGCCATCACCACCACCATCACCACCTTCTCCTCCACCACCACCATCACCACTACCACCTCCTCCCCCACCACTATCACAACTACCACCTCCTCCCCCACCACTGCCACCACCCCCGGTATCCCCACCGCCATCGTCATCAGCATTCCCGCAACCATCATCATCATTCCCATCATCATCGCCATCACCCTCCCCGCCAACATCTTCTTCTACACCATCCACCCAGTCATCTAACCCCTCCTCTGCTGCTTTTTCTTCCTTCCCTTCTTCTGCTTCTTCTTCTTCCTCCTCTCCCTCCTCTTCCTTCTCTTCCTCCTCTTCCTTACCCTCTTCGTCATCTCCCCCTTCTTCTCTACCCTCTTCGTCATCTCCACCTTCTTCTCTACCCTTTTCGCCATCTCCCCCTTCTTCTCTACCCTCTTCGTCATCTCCCCCCTCATCCTTTACCTTGCCTGATTCATCATCTTCGTTATCAACACATTCCTGTTCAGATCAGTTGTCGCGGCGACCCTTTCGTCCAATACATCTACTGTTAAATCGGTTGTTGTAGACACCTCTTTGGCGGAGGAGCTCCCCGTCTCCACCTCCGTCTCCAAGACAACGGCCTCGTTTGTCCATGGATAGTATAATCATTGTGCCCACTGCAGGGGTTCCAGATCTGCTCCGATGTCATGTCTGCCACCGTACAGAAAGACGACGTCGCGTTCAAGACAATGTGGCGACAATTTCTCCAGCATTAAGAGTCTGCGTGTGCATCAAACATAAGGTGTGACCGCCTATGCAGCTTTTGCACTACTGACAACCACCTTAAGCACAAGTATGGCTGATCAGCCTCCATTACCTGCATCTGACCCACCCATATCTCACCCACCTATTTCTCCCTCGCCCGACCCCGCATGTTCCCCAACCCCAATGGCCAATGACTTGCCTTCTGATCATTTGATGGAGCCCCTAACTGGAGATGACCTCTCTCCGAAGCGTGTACTAGAGCCAATTCAGTTTCCACAAACGAAGGAACCAATAGAAACGATCAAGGCCACATTGAATCTCCGCCTGCCGTGCAATCCACAGAACTCTACCACACAACCAGTAGAATCCTATGATCTCATAGTGTTGCAGCGAGACTGTTGTGCGTAGTATGCTGTCAATGTAAGTGTCCTGTTTACAACTGTAACACCGTACACAATTTCTGATTTTGTTGATATTGTTCGCTGGATAGAAGAAGAGCACCGTGTTGTCTGTTCAGAGGATGACAATACTGGTCCTGGAGTGAATATAAAAGTTATCTATGACATTTATAAAGACCACAATTGCAACCTGCTCCCCAAACAAACTCAAATATCCGCACATACATCCTGCATCGCCCATGACATTTCAGCGCTGTGACCTTTGCAGACAATTCATGGGCCTTATGGGACAATGGAGGTAGGGTGCACAATGTGAGTAGCATTAGCTCTTTCTTTAACCAAGTAGCAAATACTCACTCAATTTGGATTGTCCTTCAGGAACAATATGTTACGTCGCACTCGCAAGCGCTTCAGTTTCTGGAGTGCAATCCGGATGCGCAATTACCTCATTCCCCTGCACATGACCAAGCAGTGTCCCCTCTCTGTGTAGATTGGGCAGATTCTTCTCCAGACAATAAAAGAACCTCCTTAGAAGATGTTGGTTGTGCCCTTCCATTCTGTGGTCATACAACCATAATCCGGTTAGCATGCATGGTGCTGCTCCGAACACTAAGAAGGGATGGTCACTATCAGCCTCTGTCACAAAAACTGCAACTCTTTGTTGTGTGCAGACTACTTCGATTATGTTTTGTAGGGAAAAGAAAATCCCTCTGGGGCCCCCCTAAGCCCCCATTGTGGTTTGCCATTACAACGAGTTCATGCACAACAAATGTTGCCTTCTGCAGTAGGTACATAAGCATTCGTTTGGTTCCGTCATGGTGCTCTTCTTCAGTCCTGCGTCGTTGCAATAGCGAAAATTCTCACACATTCTAATCTCGTCGACCTTTGATTTTTTCCACTGCAAGCTCATCGCTGACAATTTTACTTAGCCGATCTTCAAAAAAAAAAAACTACACGGATGACCCCATCTCCATAACCGCCTTTATTTGCTACTTCGAGTTTCGAAAAGAAATGTCGCTTATGCCTTCCCACGACCACTCCTGAACCTTTAAACTCATTTATTTTTCCTCGACATCTTGTAGCATGAATATTTATCATCCGCAGTCCGTACATGAACGGTTAATTTCTCCTTCCGAGGGACAAATCATTGCAGTCGTGACAATCCCGTCTTTGACAAGCTCGAATCTGGATAAACTTCGAGCATCGAGCTTCACCAGATCCTTCGTCGTACCCATCTGCAATTCAACTTCATCCACTTGTGGCAAACATTAGCAATTGTTTTATGTACACCGACTTCTTCGACTGCGTTCGGTAGAAAAAAAAATACCATGCCTCTTGGACCCCTCGACACCCCTCCTTAACGCCCAATGCGGTTTTTTATTGCGGCGACCTAATGCGCTCACAATATGAACTTCTGCAGTCAGAACACAAACGATTGTTCGACTTTGGTCTTCTTAATTCGGGCGTCCTGACGGTTGGGGGAATCCCTGTTCTCATATTTTCGGATTCCGTCGAAGTTGGATTATTTTCCACCACAAGATTCTCGCTGGCGAGTTTGCCCGTCGATCTCCAAAGCAAACTACGTTGATGTCATCATCTGCACAACCGTCATACTATGATAATTTAAAATCTGGAACGAAATGTCGCTAGGACCTCCCCCGATCCTCCCTGAACCCCCAATTCCACCCGCTTGCAACTTCGTGCCATCCACTTTTGGCAATCCTTGGCAATTGTTCTATGCTTGCCTGCTTCTTCGACTATGTTTGGTAGAGAAAAAAAAAACATGCCTCTTGGACCCCTCAATGACCTGTTTGAACCCCCGATGCGCTTTGTTAGTACGGCGAGTTTATGGCAATACGAACTTCTCGAGTCGAAACACAAATGGTCATTCGGTTTTGGCATAGTGCTCATCGTTGGCCCCACGTCGTGACTGTTAAGGGAAGTCACTCTTCTCGAAAGTTGGGATCCCGTCGAACTTGGATTTTTTCTACTGCAAGATCCTTGTTGGGAGTCTTTTCGTCGATCTCTAGATAAAACTATGCGGATGTCGTAATCTCCATAACAACCATACGGTTTTTTTTTTTTTTTTTAATTCTAAAAAGAAATATCATTATAGCCTCCCCGCAACCCTCCCTAAACCCTCAAACTCGTTTGTCTTTTCCTCGGCACCTCGTGGCAGTGATGGTTGTCCTCCACATTCATACAATAAACAGTTGATCTGTCCTTACAACACACTCATCATTGCAATGGCGGGAATCAAATTTCTAACAAGTTCGGATCCTGGGGAATTTCAAAAACTTCTCTTCGCCGAATGTTGTGTACGACCCGCCAGCAATACCTTATCATCCATATTCGGCTGACCTTGTAAATTTACTTATGTACGACGAGTTCTTAAACTATGAATGGTTGGGAACAGGGTAAGCGGCGTTCGGGATGAGACGAACGACCGAACCCGAACGCCCAAATATATGGGACCCCTTGGGGATGCGTTCGGTCGTTTGGGCCAAACGTGGACAAAAAAAAATGAAAATAAAAAAAATCAAAATAATATGGAAACAAGATATGTTATGAAAAAAAAANAAAAAAAAAAAAAAAAAAAAAGATTTGCATAAGCATTACATGAATTTACATCCAAATTCCTTACCAAATTTAAAATAAAAATAAAATACGAAGAACAAATACTAATAATAAAAATAAATAAAAATAAAAAAAAAATTAAATTTAGTGAGTCCGCAAGCACGTTTTCGACACCGTCATCTTTGGCGATTTTTCATTTTTTTTTTGGCATAGCGAAATGTCATGAAAATTTACAGATGTGTACTTCACATAATAAAAAACCCACTTAAAAAGTTTCAAAAAATAATAAAATTGTTTAGACCTTGAACTAAAGTGAAAACAAAAAGTAAAAAGTGAAAAAAAAACGTGGGCGAGCACATTTTGGCATCGCCATCTTTGGCGATTTTTATTTCTTATTTGGCTAAGCCAAATGACGTCAAAATTTATAGACATTTACCTCACGTCATAGAGAACTCACAAAACAAAATTCAGAAAAAAAATTAAAAACATCTGGTCCTGAAATAAGTTTTGGCGGGGCCGAACGCCATCGGGTTTGGATCCCGTACGGGACCCCGAACGCCCGTACGTACGAAGGTCGGTCTGGGGACCTCCGTACGTACGGGCTGGTGACCATGGTTGGGAAAATATTTTTGCCTCGTGCATCCTCTTTGCACCCTCGTAAACCCCACTTGTCGTTAGTCATTTCGACAAGCTGATGCGTTGCAAACTCTCTTTTTTACAGTTGGGATAACTGCGGTCATTTGTTTCTCTCTCGTAGTCGACCGTGTGTGCCCGAACTATGGAAGAAAATGTTGGCAACACATCACATCGCCGAAATGACAAACAAAATGTTGGTTTACGTGGGGTGCAAAGGGGCGTGGGAGATAATTATTTTAAACTTGTTATAGTAGAAGCTATGTAGCACCGTGTTCGCATTTGGAGGCGAATGTGAACATGTTCGCCCGAACGCGAACAAGCGCCCCAAACCCTTCGAACGCGAACATAAAAAGTATTATTAAAAGAACAAAAACAATATTAAAAAAAAAATAAAAACAGTACATGTTATGTAAAAAACAATACAAGCAACATTTGCCTTGGAGTGAAGTTCAAATTCGTAGCCAATCACGAGTTAAAAATAAAAAACCGAAAAACATTTTTTTTTTTCTTTTTTACGACAAAAAATTATGTTCGCCCGAACATGTTCGCGCGAACGTGAAGGGATGTGAACACGTTCGTCGTGCTACGCATAATAGAAGAAATCTTTTTACGCAGTGAAATTGCCAATGCCTGGTGAATACGGATGTCACGGAATTGCGGAGCGCAATTTTCGAAGTTCGCTAGGATCCGAACTTATCAAAGATATGTTTCCCGCTATTTCGGTGATTAGTGTATCGACAGGACAGACCAACCATCGCATGAAGTTGTACAAGCGATCATTCATTGCTTGTCGTGAGACACTCATTCTTGTCGCCACACTGTTTTTTTTTTCTTCTGGTAGGCAGAAAATGACTCCTGAAGTATTCCCTCCAAAGACCCCTCTACGTGCCAAAAAGGGGGGTGAAATGCTCGACGACATTGTTGACTGTGGGACCCCTGGGTTGGACTATAGTCCAAAACTGTCAATTTACAACCCATAAATATGGTGAAGATTCGTTGCCGACATTTCTCTCCTGTCTTTTACAGGGTGTGAACAATTCTCTGAAATACCCATTGAAGTGATGTTGTTGTCAAGTTTTTTTATCGAGCACAGCGTTTACAAAACAAAGGGCCACACGACAACATAAAGGATCGTTCAAGGAATAAATCCATGAACTTGGCTATGGAAACAAGACACATCTTCGACTTGCATTCCCATCGAGAAGTCCTACACTTAACACCGACAAGCCCATTAGATAGTTCGTCTTTCGAACAGTCCCACACTACTTTCCCCCCAAAAAAGGTCTCGCTTATCGTGAAAGCTTTGGGGATTGCATGGCCTTGCCAGGTAGCGGAACGACACAGTTCCTAGGACTGGTTTCATTTGCCTCCCCATACATAGTTCACGTTTCTGTCGTAGTACATTGAGCATCTTCAACGACCAGCTTCCACGTGACCATGGGTACGTGTTTCACTACCTCTGATAAAAAGGGAAAACGGTTGATAAGCATTGATTATTCATCAAATAACACCCCTCTTCCAGTACGTCGTTAAGGCAATGTAACTAGAGTGGTACACAGTTCATAAGCATTGATTATTCATCGGAGTAACTGTCTACCGCACCTGCAATTCCATCAAAATTGCAATCTGATGTGAGGTTCCTGTCTGAAGCCACTGTACATCAGACATGTCAGAAAGGAGCGTTGCAAAGAAAATGGCGATATTGTAAATTTTGCCTGCACCTCTGTTGGGGGATAGATTACCGTATAGCATGGGTAATAGGAACCAAAGGAAGAGAGAACAATACCAAAGAGCGAAAAACATATTTTCAGAAAAAACATTGCTTATCATATGTGGCATGTCATGTTGCAAGGATCGTTGTTGTTATAATGTGTCACCGGACGATGTCTGAAAGGTGAGACAAAGACTGTACAGTTAGAGTCTGGAAGGGAGAGTGGAGTGGTGGATGAAAAACCTTAAAGATTCCACGGTCAATGAGGGTAAACAAAAATGTGTCTATTCTATAGAGTTGGAACGTTCGATGTGTTTCAAGGCGTGCTGCAATATTCTCGGTGTCCCTCGTAATATATTTTATAGTTAGAAGAAACGCTTCAACAACGTCTTTGTACATTACGGACATGGGCTGACAGATAGACAACAACCAAAAGAAAAAATCGTCAACCATGCTTGCGAGCATGAAAATTTTCATCAAGTGTCATGCGGATAAGATGCCAAACGAGATGGTTCATCGAGATGTAGTTTACAGACTGAAACTTCGTTTCCCGACTGCTTTCAAGAAGAGATCGATTTATGAGTCAATCAAATCAGACTATGTGGTTGTTAGCCTCAAAGTCGCATTGGAATCAACTTTTACAAAATATGGCAGAAATACTTTTATCATGTTACACAGTAACACTCTAACACGTTTACGAAGTGCATTGACTTTCATAAACTAAAAGAACGTATATCATGTGTTGCTCTTCCTCGTGATCGACAATGGGCTCAAAAGGAGATGAAAGTTCATCGACAACATCAAGTTGAACATATATTGGACTATAGTTTGACAACGGTTAATTCAACGGCCCGCCCAAAAGAGTGTTTGTGTCTCATCATTAATGACATGGATAAGAAGAAGACGATTATCCCCCATATTGGTCAGACCAACTACTCGAAAACACTTGGGCCAAAGATGATGATGAAGAGGAATCTTACAAATGTCATTGCACACGGTAGAGATCATTGTATTTATATCTACACGTGATT